ATCCAAGTTTAAAACTGAGTGGGATGTAAAGAAGAACAGAAGGTCACAGCTAACTGAAGAATAAATAAAGCCTTTGATTTACCTCAGTAGTCTCTGTTGGAATTTTCTTTAGCATTTTCTGAAGGTTATCTCTAATTCTAATAGTCTGTTTCTGTCCCGTCCTTCTGAGAAATTGGAGCCACAGATGCCCTTTCTGAGAGCATCAAATGCCTTTGGTGTAATTAGGTAAGCTTCAGTGCTGACACTGGTGGTCTGTGGCTTAATTACAGACACGCAGAGGGCAGAAGAGGGCATACAATTCAGAGCTGGCATTTGGATCTTAATTGGTGTTAATGAAAGCAGAACTTCTAAAGTTCCCATCTTCACAGAAGAAGGAGCCCCAATCATCTTTATTCAAACTGTTCAGAAACAATGCAAAGTATATCTATCCCATTTAATTTTGCATGAAAATAAGAGGTTACATATGTCAAAACATTAAGAATGGCATGTGCTCCGTAAGCACATTCTCTGAGATAACTTCACCTCTTCTTTCAGTATAGTTTATTGAAGAGAAGCTAATCCCAGTGGGACAGTAGAAAGTGAAGAAAAAAGAAATTGAGTTAACAAGTTAAAGAGACAGATTTACTACATGTCAGAACAGTTTGTGTGCTTGCTAAATTAATGACTAGCAATAGGAAATGTCTATGCCCAGTAACAATGTCCCCACTCAGTCTTCCTCTTTCTCCCTCTCTTTATCTTTATTTTAATAGAAAGTGTTGCTTCCAGACAAGGCTCATCTTTCTACAAGCTGTTACCAAATATAATCTTCCTTAATTTTCTTTCCTCTCTCCCTTCTTCCGTCCCCATGTATATCTCAATACCTCAAAAGTAAGCATACAATTTATGAGGATAGTAATTTTTAAGCATAATTTTAGAGCCAAACATTCAAAATCAGGTTTTTTTTTTCTTCCTTCAACAGTGTAGGCTCCCTTGAGTTTAAAGAAAGCATTTCTGTATGTGTGTGACATGAACATTTGTATAGACAGAGGAAGTTATATAAATATAGGCAGTAAATCAGCTGCTAATACAAATTAAGAATCCCTAACTCCAAAAATAAAGAGAAGTTCATTTCTACAAGGAAAAGTGGGCCATGTTGGCCTGACCTCCTTGGGGTGGAGGTGGTGAAGAGTAGCTATCTATTACTTAGGACAATGGGAGGTTTGTTAGGAGTTAATGATTTCTTTTCTCATTTATTTGATCCCAACTCCGTGATCCCTCACTCTGTAAGAGCACTCTCTGGGAGTAGCGTGGAGAGATCAGCTCAGTCTATGTCACTTATTCTCCAATCACAAAGCCAAATGCTGGAATTCACTATTGACATATTTGTCTTTAAAGGTGTGTCTGGCAACATACAAAGAAATGAACAGAGCAAAACTTAGCTCAGTGTAAAGCATAGAGGCTGACAGGTAATCGAAGTTTTATGTAAGTTTAATATAGATTAGTTTGTTTTCAGGCCATGATTTTTTTTCAGCTCTAGTACATGTGCTGCTTATTAATGAATCCAATCTATTAAACTTGGAGCACATAAAAACTTTTCTACTTTTCCTTCTGAATGAAAGCTCCCTGAATTTAATTCACATTGATCTGCAGCTTCATAGAGCGGGTGGAAGAATATGATGAGGAAATTCTGAAAATGAATTTGAAATCCTGAATCTTACCTGCAGTTTGCTTGCTATAATAGCTTATCTTCATTGCTAGCTTTGCTGGGTTTAGAATTTCTGTGGAAACAGTCTCTGATTGTGCCGTGATAGTGTTTCTAGAAAGGGGTGACTTAAGAGAGAAGACCTACCTATCTTGGATGAGTATTGAGCTATTGATGTGTTTTGGTCCTGGGCTGAATAGAAAAGAGAAAGCCTTCTTGCTCTGCATTCCAAGTAAAGTCCTGATGTGACCAGCTGCGTTGTCCTTCAGCTGTCACATGGCAAGTGCATTTCCCTGAACTGTAAATTAGAAGAACCTCTCCTGTCCTAGGCTTCTTCTTGTTCACAGTCAATGAGATATAAATTCACACTGAATAGATTCTATTATTCAGTGTACAGCAATTACATTAGTATAGTTTTGTTATGCAAAGCAGTAACAAACCAGCTAACCAGAGAATAGTGTGATATGGAGACTGTGTGCAAGAAAACTGACTGATACTCTTGACAAATAACATTTATGTTACTAGACTCTGCAAAATGCACAGTGACAGCCAACTGTGAAAAAGAATAATCCCAAGTCAAGGTCACAACTAAGGATGCGAGGTAACCAGACTTGTACATGCAATTTTGTTAAAATTAGAGTTACACAAACTCTATTTGCTTCTATTTTTATTTTCCCCTTGTTTCAGTAATTTTATTCAATGCTGATTCCACTAGAATTTAGTTCCAATGAGGAAAACATCTAAGGATTCCTGTCCCCTGCTTATGTGGACTGCTACCACAGAATAATTCATTTCTGTCAAGTGTCCCTAATAAGTTTATATCTATAACTGTTACCTACCAACTATTTACCTATTTTCTGCCTGTCTTTATATCTAATTACTTATTTTATCTCTATATGAATATCTAATTATTACTACCCTTATGTATGTTATAATGATAAAATAAGGCTATATGAAAAGGCAAGGTGTATTAGTCTGGGACAATGTGGTACATCAGTCAACCCACAGTTAATGAAATATAATATATATTGAAAATATATCCATATGTCTATATGTATATAGTACAAAATAATAACCAACAAAATGAGCATGATATTGACACCATATACATAAACTATTCACTGTAAGTATAAAGCATTTAAAACCCGAACTTTTCTAGAAATTAGTATTAGAGGTAAAAGCATGGAAAATTTTAAACACTTAATATCTTGATTTTGGAATGCAAAATTAATAGTGTTCTTCAAAGAATATCTGGTAGTGTTTAAAGAGATACTTTAAGCCACCCTAGTTATATTTATTACTGTGAAATTATTATTACTGAACTGAAGTTACTTTTCAGTCTAAATATTAACTCCTCCATTGGAGAAAATCTCGTTATGTGGTCATGAAAACTGTCTGGTATTCTGGAATTTATACCAACCAACAAACAAAGCCGAGTGCTTATAAATTGCCTTTCAACATTCCTTATTGATGTGTTATGTTATTTTACTTAGAACAGTACTATCTGTATATCCATATTTATAACCTTAAAAGTGTGTTTTCTGACCTTAACTAAAAGGCAGGGTCAATCAAACAAGATCATGAACTATTTTATGAACTATTTTTTTTTGTTAGTTTTTTTTTTTTTTTTTTTTTTTTGAGACAGGGTTTCTCTGTGTAGCTTTGGAGCCTATCCTTGGCACTCACCCTTTAGACTAGGCTGGCCTTGAACTCACAGAGATCTGCCTGCTTCTGCCTCCCAAGTGCTGGGATTAAAGTCATGTGCCACCACTGCCCAGCTTGATCACAAACTATTTTAAGGGGCTGTGGAGTATAGACACTGGAGAAACTCATTTATTCATTTTCCTCTATAAACTTTTTCCCCCCTAGTACCACATTCTTATGATGTAGCCCTCACTTATTTGGAACTCACTTTGAAGAACAAGCTAGCCTCAAATGTGCACAGATCTTTCTCCCTCTACTACCTGAGTGCCTGTGGGCCATCACACCTGGTCCTTTTTGTTCTGTCTGTTTTTCTGGTACCAACAGCAGGTATTGTGCTTATGGGGTGGGGCTGGAACATACTAGACAAGTCTGAATACTAACCTACTTTTCCTGTTACCTTTCTCTGTTTCTGAACTCAGGACAGTTTCATTTGCTTCCTTTAACCTTCAGATTTTAATATTTCAAATATTTTCTTACCTAACTAGTGACACTAAATGATTCACTGTCTTAAGTATCAAGTCAGCCATAAATTTAAATGGGCATTTAAAGTATAAAATGCAGCTGCCTTCTATAAAATGACTAAAATGCTTCTAACTTCTTTTCCTTGAACATATATTTAATCATTTCTTGGGTGATCAAATTTTATTCATCTCTCTGAAACTCTGGCAAGCAAATAAGGCTAGGAAAACATTTATGTTATTTCATTTTGCTTGTAATGTAAGTTTTGTATAGCAGAGCAATTAGTGCTGTTAATAAGTAAAAAACCTAAACAAAACAAACAAAATGAAACAAAAACACCAAACTATGGCTTTAATAGTTATACATTCACTTGGTATTTTACTGGGTGCCTACCTCATCCAAGCCTAATGCGTGTTTTCAGCTGGGCACTTCAGTACTAGTCTTACGTTTTTCTTATCCAGAGAGAATATTCTATACAAAGGATGCCAGTAATCATTTAGAACAAAAGAGAAAGAATAAAAAAGGCAATGGCAGGGTTTCTGTGGCTGTACATAAGTTGTCTGATATCTTTCATGTACCTTCATCCAGCAAACCATTCATTCCCCTGTTGGTTAGGTGGCCACTGGGAAAAACACAAGAGACATCCTGTTTACATTCTACCCCTTTCATGTTGTCCCTCCCTAATGGATAAGACCTTGGCTATATCTGAAAGTTTCAGTGGGTAAATATGTGAAACATTTAGTGCCAAGCCTGAAACCAGCTCCTGCTCAGATGATTAATCCTAGTAAGAATAAAAGATGTTGTTGAAAAAGAAGTACTTTGCAAAACAGCACAACCCAGACTCCAGCATTCAGCTTTCTACCATGTGCTTTGTTTTAGTCAACATCGTCTACCAAATTTGGTCCTTATCCATCACAATGATTTCAGGAATAATTTTATAGCATGTATGTATAAAATCATTTTTATACATACATGCTATAAAATGATAGCTTTAAAAAAGTAATGATGAATCTGAGTTTCTATTGTGTCCTGAGACAGTTGATGTGTGGAAACAAAGGAAAAGCAAGCAATGCAAACACACAGCAATTTGCATGACTCCTCCAAGGAAGGAAGTGGATGGCAGTCAGTGTGGCTTCCTCATTGTAAAGCTACTTGCCTTGCAAGCTGTAGATTTCTCCAACGCTGTTCTGACGGGTAATGTGATGCCAGTATGCACTACGCGGAAGAGAGATGGATTTCGATAACGTCATTGGTTCAGTCAAGCTTGTCTGAAGCTAAAAGAGAAGGAAAACATACCTTAGGCTTTCTTGGAGTTATCAAGCTCAAATCAACCCTCTAAAATGGAGTGGGAGTGGCAGAAAGCAGAATATGTGAAAGATATCCATATAATTCCCCAGCCAATGATAACTGTATCAAAAGTGAAATTGTCACTGGTGGGTTTCCCATGCTCCAGTGGCTAGCTCCACAGATGTGCACATACTGACAGCTCTAACTAGACTTAGTGGGAGAGAGAGACAGATATGGATGGACAGACAAGGGTTGGATGGTGGGTGGATGGGGTAGGGGTGAACATTGGAAAAGGGCAATAACTCAGTAGGTAAAAGAGCTTAAAGTCTGGTGACCAGGTGCTACAGGGGCAAACACTTGAGCAGGATCATGTGCATCTGTCTGTTCACATGAGAGTGTACTTCAGGTTCAGTAAGAGGCCCTGTCTCAAGGGGATGAGTTAGACTGTGATAAAGCAGGATACCTGATGGTCCTTTGGCTTCCATACACAGGTACTCACCCTGTCACACACATACCACAAGCCACTATATATATATTAAAATGCACATCAAAAAAGAAAAGAAAAAATACATGTTCTTACTTTGTAAGGAGTGGAACCTGCCTCATTCAGAGGGACACTAATGTTCTCAATGGCTTCTTGCCAATACCCAGGGGAGAATCAGTCACAGGCCACCTTGGGAACTGGTTTGCACTTCAGTGGTTGAGAAGTAGTTACATTTGCCCACAGTGGTTTCCAATGTATAGAATGGTGAAATGATTCAAGAAATGAAGGAGGAAGCTGTCACATTGACATGCCCTAGAAAAGGTTCCAAACACAAAAGAGCCATTTTCAGACTTTTCCTAACACCTCCTCCCACCTTTGTGCAGGCATGCTTTTCTTTCGTGCGTCGTTTTTCTTTCACATTCTGAATGAATATTCTGAGAATCTCTGTGATAAGAGAGCTAAATGTGTTTGTTTTTTCAATGTACTGTTCTGAGGTTAGCTGATTACATCATTCTCCAGGGAAATGATGAACCACACACAGACGCACGTGCACGTGCGCACACACACACACACACACACACACACACACACACACACACAGACAGAGACAGAAGAGAGAGGAATAGATTTGCAATTAAAAAAGAAATTTATGTTTGTTTATATTGTTTTAAAAATACATAAATGGCTTTACTTGGTATTTGTTGCTTTGACAAGCTGAGCAATGTATAAACAGGCCGCTTAGCTACTGCCATCCCCAAAGCTAAGAATGCCATCAGATAGCTTCTGAGTTGTCTCTGCTTCACTGCCACTTTCCCACCTGACATTACCACTGCTGTATTTGGAAAATGCCTAAATATATGGGGTTCTTTGTTCTGTTGGTATGAAATCTTCATAAAATGTTATCACAATGGAACATGGAATTTGGAGTAATTTGCTGTCTTGTACAAGATCAATGCATTTGGTTTATTTGAAAGCCTGCCACCAGAACAACTTTGCAGTTCACTCTTATGTATCTCAAATTATATATTTCAAGTTCTCTTCCCCATTTACATAATACGCATGTTCCCTGCACCCATAATCCATATACATCGGTATGTGTAGGAATATGAAGGAAACATCTTGTTTGCTTTGCTGAGATTAAGTAGACTGTACCTACAGCACCCTTATTATGAATGCCCCAGCCCTGACAGCTGGAAACAGCTGTGTGTGTGGCTCCCCATGCTTAGATACCATCGATATGCCCACATAGATGAACTTCATCTCTCACTGTAAAGAAGTGGAGGCAGGTTTAATTCTATGGTGCTGTCATTGAGAGAGGAAACCAACTTCTCATATGAAACAAACACATAAATCTTTATTTAATTCATGTCAGAGATGCCCATTAATAACAACTAAAGTGAATTCATACTAATCATAGTTCTATTTATTATCTGATCTTTATTATTGTCTTAATCTAACCTAATTTATTATTTTCCATAAAAAAGATTTCTGAAATTTAGTGAAAGTCATTTTCCTTCTGTAGTTTAATTTAATTTGGTAAACAATTTTTTTAAACACCAAATAGTTAGTCTTGGGCATCATAGAAATATAATAGGCATATGGTGACTGTTGAAAATAAATACCAGGAAACCAGCAGAAAGTGTCCACCCCCCTTACACATCTGAGTTATCACATCTCTTGTTGCTATAGTTCTCCCTGTCCTTGCTGTCAATGTTTTTGACTGTATTCAGTTTCTTCTTTCTTGTGCATTCACTTTAGTTATGTTCTATTTACTTGTGGAAAGGGAGACATCTGTACCATAAGAATTGGTTATGGATTTTTCTTGACCTGTTTACCTACATTTTCCTGCATGACATCACAGTATCAATCACCATTCATATCTATACAACACACTGTTATGGAGTGAATTGTGTCCTCACCAAATACACTGAAGTATAAAATCCTGACATGATAAAAAATAAAAAATAAAAGAGGCAGGTTCTAAGAAGTGGCTAATTAAGGTTAAAATAAGACTGTGCGGTACAATCTTAGTTCAAGAAGATGATGGCCTTATAAAAAGAGGAAGATACTCCAGGGAATAATAGTCATGGGGGAAAAGTCCATAGAATGCACAACTAGAAAATGGACACTTATAAGGTAAGCATTGCGGCATAAGAAGAAAAACTAAACCTGTTCAGTGTTGATTTTGAACTTTTAGACTACAGAATAAAGGAGACTTTAGTCTTACAGCCATATCAGACTAATATAAGAGACTTTAAGTAACCTAACAAGGAAGATGTACACTCTCAAATATGATCTGTCCAGTGATTTTTAATCATCTTATTACCTACAAACAATGCATTGAGAATTAAGCCTTTGGATAGAGCCATAGTGGAGCAAATTATATTTATAGTAGAAAGATAGAAAGAAATAAGCACATTTGCATAAATACATAAAAGAAAAATTATGGAACCATTTATAGAAACCCAAAGTTGGAATTTTTACTGCTCAGGTAAAACACTGTAACCAAAAGCAACTTGAGGAGGAACGGGCTTATTTCATTTTAAAACTTCATCACTGAGATAAATTAGGGTAGGAATGCCACTCAGGGAACAGCACAGCTTACTGACCTGCTGTCTGTCTACGGCTTTCTCAGCTTGCTTTTCTTTACAATTTAGGACCACCTGTCTAGGCAAGCTGTTACCCTCAGTGGCCTAGGCTCTCCCACATCCAGCATTTATCAAGAAAATGTCATAAAGACTTGGTTGTAGGTAATCTGATGAAGACCTTTTCAATTGAAGTTGGGTTTTTTGTTTGATATTTAATGCTAGCTGTGCCAAGTTGGAAAAAAAAGGACACCATTTGTTGTTTTATTATTATTTTATTTTAATAAATGGAACAGTATTGTTTCCTGTTTTCTTATTCTTCTTCTTTTTATTTTTTTTTTTTTTTTGAGAATCTGCTGTATTGCTATTTGTGTGTGTGTTTCTAATAAGAAATTGTTTAAGAAATCTCAACAATTCCTGGACCTTTGCGCCAATCTCTGAGTGCTTAACCACTAACTCTCCTGAAGGCAGTGCTCACCTGCTTCTCATTTTGCAATTAGGATTAGGCAGGGTTAGTCAGAAAGGACGCTTCAGCACAGATGCAGAAATCAATTCAACAGGGAAGCAGTAAGCTCAACCATTGCCGGTGCTTCTGCCACCTCCTTTTTGTTGCAGACACTTGAAATAACATTTAGTTCACTGGAAGGCTGAGCAATGAACCAGAAAAATGGTTATTTAGTGTCTATAAAGAGTGCAGGTCACAGCTCTACCAAGTGTGAAGAGTAGTTGAGATGTCTGTGTCCTACCTGAGAGTACTGCCCACAGAGGCAAAGCCAAAGAACATGACTAAGGCCCAAAGTGCTCAATACACAAAGTCAATATCTGTATGAGCAAGCTGCCTTAGCTATTATTTGGGAAATCGATTAATAAAATTATATATATATATATATATATATATATATATATTGAGATCCATATATAGGCAATATAAAAATAGATCCTAGCACCATTTGCAAAAACAGAGCAATCAAAGGAATGACAATAGAGGTGATGATATAAATTTGGCCTAAGCCAAGGTGATCTATAGAAGTACAAATCTAAGGACTATAAAGAGAAGGCATATTTGATCAGTGTGGGTAGGTGGGGAGAGGTAGGAGAGAGACCAACAGAGCTAAGCAGGCTGTGTATATTCATGAGTGTGCCTGTATGTATATTCGAGTGTCTGTGTGTATATTTGAATGATTCAAGCAAAAAAAAAAAAAAAAAAAAAAAAAAAAACCTGATAGTATCTTTCCTTTCCCGTTGATAGGGTGAGATCCTCTGACAAAAACAATTTAGGGGGAGAAAAGGTTGGCTTGTAATACAAAGATACAAACACCATGGTGAGAAACTGAAAGCAGCATGGGTGCATGTGCCAAGCACAATCACAGGAGAGAGCAGTGACTGCTGTTGCTCTTAGCCTTCTTTCTTTATTAATACAGTTCAGGCTCTCAGGCAGTGGATGGTGACAGCCAACAGTGGGTGGGGCTTCTGCTTTCAGTGGTTAATCAAGAAAATTTTCCATAGACTTCTCTATCAGGTGATTTTAGATCTGTCTAGTTATCAATTAACACTAACCATCACGCCAATGTAATGAGTTAAATGCTTCATGGGATATGAGCCAACATGTTTGTTGATATGCCTGAGACAGGAGAGAATGGATAAGAACATATGCTATAAAAAAAAACCACCACCCCCATCCCCCCAAAAAAAATAAATAAAAATCAAAAAACTATTACAGTGGGACCAGGATTTTAGCCCTAGTGTTTGAACTGGTTTTTTGGAGCCCACTCTCTTTGGAGAGTTGCATTGCTCAGCTTAGACATAGCAGAGAGAGAGGGCCTTCTTCCTCCTGCCTTAAAATGATGTGCCAGACTCCAGTGACTTCCCATGGGATGATGGGGGGGGGGAGATAAGGTAGAAAGAGCAGGAGGAGGGG